TTTATGATATCTTCAAACATATATTTTATTCAAAAATAAAAACATCATCGCTTTATCAAAATCATATAAAGTCATATTATAACATCGACTGAGATAAAAACTAAAATGAAATATTTAAATCACGATGTATCTCGCTGCATTGCGCGAGTACGCTTCTAGTATATATATATATGGGCCCTTTCAAGGGAGAAATGGTTAGTTTGTGGTAACCGTGAGATCCAATCTCAACCACAAATCAATAAATAAATTAGAAAATTTATAATTTTGGTAATTTTTAATTAAAATTTTAATGCAAAGACATTTTAGGTATTTTCTCTCCTCTCTTCTCTCTCCGTCCCCGTCTTCCGGCCACCGTCCTCCGGCCTCCGACCACCATCCTTCGGTGATACCACAGTGTGATACTCAAGCACATATAAGATGCATTGTGATACCACTGTGTTACATATCCGATTGACAACACAAACGACCACAGTGTGATACCCAATCACATAAATGATGCATTATGATACCACTGTGGTATCATCGGAGGACGGTGGTCGGAGGCCGGGGGACGGAGAGAGAAGAGAGGAGATAGGAGAGAGAAGAAAAAATACCTAAAATACCCTTGCATTAAAATTTTAATTAAAAATTACCAAAATTAAAAATTTCCTAATTTATCCGTTGAGTTAAAATAATAATAATTTATCTGTTGAGTTAAATTATTATATATATATGGGGGGGAGGAGGGATTTCAATATGAGTTCAATATCTGGTGTGGATCGTACTAATAGTTGCACAACCTTTGAGGGAGTATGTTGTTGGAAACGAAGAAGGGATCGGATGGTCATTCAGCCCCTGCATCGGCACTACTTCGAATCGTTCTGCTAATGTATATTAACATTTCTTAGGTAATATATGTTAGCTTATATGTTAATATGTGTTAGTATTGAGATTGAGGTTAAGATGTGTTTGTTTTCATGTTAATGTATGTTAAGATTCTAGGATATGTTAACATATATTCATGTATTGTCAGAGTTGTCATGATCTGTTATCATATATATAATATAAATGGTAGCTCATGTTAACATGGTACGTTTCAGGTATATTAACTTATGTTAAGCTTCATCACCAAAATGTCGTCGCGTCCATCTAGGCCTTTAGATTTTACACACAGCCTCATCCAAATTCTATGGAGGGGTTCCTATATACACGTGCATACACACACACACACACACACTCACTCACATAAAGAGAAGTTTCATTAGAACCCTAAAATTGATTGGGAATCCGTGATCCGTCACAATGCGTCACGTGTCCCTCTTCAGAATGGGTATTCATCATGAGTCATACGTGCATGATGAATAGACATGTTATTCATCATGAGTCATACCTTCATAATTATTAACATATTTATTTAATAAATATGTCATATGTTACCCTGTGGACATTATAATATATAAATCTAATGACCGGACATCTAATCTCCTATTTATTTTATGAATGATTGTGTGTTTGATGATAATGCCTGACTAGATTGCATTAATCGCCCCAATACAATCCCAAGTTTGTTTAAATCTGATAAAATAAATATATCAGGTCAACGTATTATATTTTTAAAGTTATACCCTTTATATTATTTTAATTAAATAACTTGATATAGTTTTTTTTAACATTAAACCCACATAATTTATAATTTTTTGTCAAATAATATAAGACTAAAAATAAATAATATAATTAATAATCATTATAATAGTTTATGGTGTAATCATGTGGTTCGTGTCTAAGGGTTATTTGTTTATCTTTTAATTGTTTCATTAAGAGACAATCTTTGAATACTTAAGAGATGAATTTTGTTTGATAAAAAAACAATATGTCTCTTAATGGTTCTAAAATCTTGTGAATTGTTTTGTATCATGTGTCTTCTTTAACCATTCAGTGTCAAAATCTCATTATAAACAATTACCAAATAATTATATTTTATTTTACACTATATAATGAGGATCTCTTAATCGTTCTGACTACTTATAATCATTTTACATCAGATCATTCAATAAAAAAAAATCCCCTTATGCAAATCCGATGTAACCTGGCAAAGAAACAAATAAACAAGTTAAGGGAGGTTGGAACATAGTCCACTATCATACAATGTTCCGGGGATATGATGATAATGATGTCATCATACGAAATATCTAAAATTTTGAAGAGTTAGGTTTACGTGAGACCAACTTGTTTTCATGAGATCCATGAGACCATTTTTTTACATTTGAAACTTTACAGCAAAACGTTGTGAAGGTAACATTCACAATGATTTTGCCATGAAGGTCCGGCTTTCTTTTTATCTTCATAACGTTTTACTGTAAAGTTTCAAATGTGAAACAATGATCTCACAAAAACAGTCTGGTTTAACGTGAAAGCAACTCTATAATCGAGATAACATTTATGATTTTAATATTTGTCGCTTTCATTTTTATACAGATAAAACCTGATTGAACGTAAAAGTCAAAAGCTTACTTTTTTGAAAGGTGCCGTCCACATTTATAATTTCCACTAGTTGTGATAGCTTTTACCGTCAAATTTTAAATAATTATTGATTATAATATTTAATTTAATTTTAAGTATTGTTTAATTTTTTTAAAGCATAATATTAATAATTAAAAAGAGAAGGCAATTGGTTGTGTGAGTGTATGATCATGCCTTTTAACATAACCCATGTGAATCATGCCCTTTAACATGATCAAAGTGGTAATGTCGATTAATACCACCGTGAGTCTCGTTATACTGCTAATAAATAAGGCATGAGTTAATTAAAGAGTGACGGATTCAAGAATCTTAATGACGAGAATCGAAATTTAAGTAAAATGTTTTTTCTTCTTTTTTAATTCAAATCGATAACGGAAATTCTATTCAAATCAACTTCCATAATTATCAAATGAGTAGTGTTGGATCAAGAAATATTACGAGAATAATTACCATCAACTACTGTTCTAGATGTTAGGGTTCGTTCGCTTTGTATGATTGTTTTTAAGAGATTTTGATTTTATGGAGAGATTTGGATTTGAAGGGATTTGGATCGGAAGTGATTTGAAATCATTGATGTGTTTGGTTTGTAGAATTTGGAATGAAATTGGATTCCATTATTTATAAAATAACTTATAAAAAATTATAAAAACCAATTATTAAACATTTTTTAAAACCTTATTTCATACAATCCTACAAAATCCCGTGAAATCTTGAACACCCTCTCAGGATTTCAAAATCCTATGTTTTGTACCATTTCAAATGAATCTCAATATTTCAAATCCGGACAATCCAACAAACCAAATATATGATTATAATGGATTTCAAATCCAAATTCATTCCATTCCCGCAAATCAAATGCAACCTTAGTGTTTTTCTTTTCAAAAAATTATTTCATTTTCTAGCAAATTAATAAAACAATAAAAAAATTAGACATTATTTTAACATATTATAATCCTAAAAATTAAAAGAAATAACAAATTTGTGGGATTAAATTATTCCAAATAAATTATAAAATAAAACAAAACAAAAGTTATAACATAAAGAGAATCTTTGTTTGAAAATGAATGGGGTCCTTTGAAAGGGGTTGAAGGTAGTAGTTTGCAAGTCACAAGAATCAACAATAAAGGAACCACATAAAGTTTCACCATGAGATCCCTTTCCTAGCATTAAATATAGGGTATAATCAGATCCAAGTACAAAAAAAGTTGAAAATTGTAACAACCATTTTTTTAAATTAACCTAGATATTTAATCCATTATGCAAGCCGATTAATCGTAGAACGATTACTTGCTTTACAGGTAGACCGGAATCATAACATTTGAACATCTATGTTAATTTTAAATTATGATTGATTTAAAAGTATAGATCTCTTTTTAAGCTTTTCATCATAACTTCTCTTCTCATTCGAATCCAACCCCATATATGTATATGCAAAACAGGGTTGAGTTATGGTGAGGAGGAGAGTTAATGTGAGAAACGTAATAAGAGATCTCTACCTTTGGATGCACCGATATGCACCAGATCGAATCAAGCATGATTTATGTGTGAGTTTGAGATTAAAGGTGATCAAGGGTCCAGATCCCTTATTACGTTTCTCATTTTAACTCTCATTCTCATACGATATTTCGCCTATGTGTGTATATGTGTGTGTGTGTGTGCGCATGTGTGTTGTATGTGTGTATATGTAGGGGTTTTATTTACAAACTCAACCATTAGTATAAACCAATTAATTAATATATTTATAAAAATAATAAGAGTTTATTTTTTATAATCTGGAAATTATGAAACCAGAGATGGTTTGTATGATTTATATAAGAAACCATGTTATTGAATTCCAAAAAAGCTATAAACCTGCAAAAACCATGTTTCATATGTGTATATATGAGAGGATCAAATGTAAATAAAGTTATTTGTATAAACATTACAAACCATCAATTTCATTGTTTAATTTAATAAATTGGTTTATATAATTTTTTGTTGATGAAATTATTTCATATATTTTTGTTTATATGTAAAAATGAACTACTTCTTATTTTGATGGATTTTTTTATTAATAAAGATGATAATATTCGTAATTAATGAACCACAAGGTGGTGTCTGATTGGTTTGAGCTTGGCTCCAAAGGTCAAAAGTACCAGGAGATCTCAAGTTCAAATTCAAGGAGAAATAAAAATACCCTTGTGACCACGGAGGTTCAAATGCAGTGACTCCGGGCTATCTGCAAGACAGGTAGTCGTCTTGAGATTAGTCGGCTCGCATAGCGGGTTGGATATCCAGGTTAATAAAAAAAAATCGTAATTAAGGCCCTTTACAATAAAATTGTTTATTCTAGTAAAGAAAAAGAAAAAAAATATGACTAATTAAATGAGATTTGTACAATTAATACAAATGCTTTGATTTACATTTCATATATTCCTTAGTTGTTTGACAGTTTATGAATGATTTGATGTAAAATGATTAATTGACTTTTATGATATAGTGTAAAATGAAATATAATTGTTTACAATAAAATAAAAACGTTCAATGATTAAAGGAGACACATGATACAAAATGATTCAAAAAAATTTAAAATTGTTAAAAGGTAAACTTTTTTTATCAAATAAAATTCATATCTAAACAATTCAAAGACCGTTTATTATAAAATTATTAGGAGGTAAATAAATAACGAAAGAAAAAAAATCATCTGGGGGTTAGTGGAGTCCACCGTTTGCTTTGTTGTACTAATTTATCACAAATACGTGTCAAATACGAGAAATTTTCAAGGTAAAGTGTATGAATAGATATAAAAACTTCCAAGTTTCTTGAGTTTTCCATAAACACAGTCTTCATTACACCTTGAAATCTGCGAAATTGGCAACACCATTCTTAGTTTATCCGCAATAACAAGATGAAATTCTGCAAGAAATACCAGGAATACATGCAAACACAAGCTCAGAAGAAATTACCTGCTGTTGGTTTTAAAAATCTCAAGAAGATCTTGAAGCGTTGCCGTACTGACACGATTCTTTCGCAGAATTCCCATCGATCACAATCGTCATCGCCTCACAGCAGTTCCGATATTAGCCATGATCATCATTGCCCTGGTACTCTTCATCTTGCAATTTTTATCCACAGATGCTTAATTTGATCGAATTTTTTTCTTTGTATGTGAGCCTGATCCTTCTTGAATTCGATAATTGTACAAGTTGATGGTGGGTTTTACTTTTTTTAGTTTGCCACCGAGGTGTTTGATTTAATGTCAGAGAAAATGGGTTTATTTCGTATGCGACCTTTCTCGTTTCTAACACCATCTCTGTCTTTCTTTTGATCTTAATTTCATGACACAATTCTTTGTCGGTGATTTTGGTGAAATCATAATGTAATTGGATCCCCTAGAGAATATGGGGTTGATGGTTAAAAGCTATATCACGAGCTAGCTAAGAGTCGTGGAGTTAAGACCTGGTAACAGCCTGTTTGTTAGCAGCTTCACGAGATTAATGGGCTCAGAACTTATTTGGTCGGCTATATGTAACTGTATGGTAGTGATTTAATGATATAAAAAACGACTTATTCAATGAGCTTTCTGCAGAAAGGCAAGTTTTTTTCTAAACCTAGCTCTTTCATCCATGAAACCTTCTCAAATAAAACCCTTCTCGATCTTTACAAACAGATTAATCCACACAGACAACTTTAAGACCTAATAGAAAATCAACAGCCCCTAAGCTAACTAGAATCCGGGTTCACTTGATGGCACCATAAGGCGGGGTAAAGAGGGCTGCGCTACCTTGCGGGGTCCAAGGGGCAATGCCCCCGAAACCTAAAAGAATATTATGAAGAGAAGTACTTGGGGAAAAAATCGAACTTTCTTTTGGAGTTGTGATTTTGTTCATAGAATCTAAATTCTAGCCGATTGTTCTTATATTTGATAATGCATTTTGTCTAGTGTGCGATGGAACTTTCTTTCCTTCTCTTCTGAAAGAAATGTCGGCAGTGGTTGGATGTTTTAACGATCGTGCACGGAAACTGCTTGACGTACATCTAGCAACAGGGTTCCGCAAGTACTTCGCCTGGTGCAGAGATAGGTTGCAGGGAAACCATGGAGGTTTAGTTCGAGAAGGCAAAGATCTCGTTGGTTATGCAATTTTCAACGCCATTGCTATGCGCAAAATTCTCAAGAAGTATGATAAGGTTGGTTTTCTCGATGCATATAGAATTTTGTATCCTTCTGTTAAACTCCGATATCGATTAGATTGAGACCATTTCTCCTCCATACGTGTTGGAACCTCCCTTCTCTCTCTTCAACATTTTTTTTGGAGAATAATATAATGGGATTGATCAAACCAGGGTCAGGTATCGGATTCCTCGTCGGATGCCGAGTTTTTTGCCATCCCTAAATGTATGGGCTCTCTCGACACTATGGGGACAATTTGTCTTCATCTAGCCTCTGTTAGAAGAGACGTGTTGGAGTTGGAGTCGGAGTCCCATATCAGACCATTTCTCTTCGCTATATGTTGGAATATCCCTCTCTCCTCAATGGCTCGTTTGGAGAGTAATCTGATGGTATTCCACCACCGTAGGGACTCTCTCAACACTTCAAAACAATTTGTGCCCATCTAGCCTCCATTGGAGGGGACGTGTTGTAGTACCACATCGACTAGATTTGAACCATTTCTCTTCAATATATGTTGGGTTGGATATCTACTCTTTTAGAGAGTAATTTGATGAGCATTCCATATATTTTCACAATTGTATAGTTTTTTTAGGAGTCATTGAGTTAGATGACCATTCCCCACATTCAAATTGATCTCCTAACCATTTCGCGGGGGTTGACCCAAATGTTACTATTTCCTCAATATTGGCGGACCTAGCTAAAGACCAAAAATTCAACACAAATTTGGAGATTTCTACTCTCTCTCTCTCTCTCTTCTTTTCTCTATTTTAGCATACAGTATAGCAGAGGTGGTGGAGCAAAACTACAAAAATATGCCCTAAATCTCCATTTTAGCATGGTTGCTGGAGGTGTTATAACTTTTGATACTCTATTTTATAAAAATGATATCATAACTGTTGGAGATGCTATGTGTAGATACATTACTGTAAGCAGGGGCAAGCGTTCAGGTCACAAGTGCAAAGCATGCACCTGGAAATCCTTCAGTCTCCATGGCTTTGTGAACTGATCGCGTTCCACATTAATTTGAGGGAAACAAACGTGGATTCGAGAAAGGCGTCTGAATTATTCGAGGGATGCTCTCTTGTATTCAATGACGGAAAGCCATCACTTTCGTGTGAGCTCTCTGATACCTTCAAACTTGAGATTGATTTGACTTGTTCCATATGCTTGGTACGTCATCCATTCTTCTTTTATTCAATTGCTGCCTTTATTTATATATATATATATATAGAGAGAGAGAGAGAGAGAGTTACAAACCAATAAACCGATCAAACCTCATTCAACCAATCATAATTTTTTAATTTTCTTGTAACTATGAGAGGTTGATTAATCATTTTTGTTGTGGAAGGTGTTAATCATGGATATTATCATCTTCATTATATAATTTTAGAGAAATACATAAAACATTTTCATTAAACTTTCATAAGTATTATATGAAACAATTTCATAACCATATATGAAACAACTTCATCAAAAAAATATTATATGAAACAATTTCATAAGACTAAACAATTTAATGAAATTTTTTCATAAGATTAGATAATGAAATCGACGGATGAGGATAGTTTGCACGGTTTGTACAAATATTGATGGTTTGCACGGTTTGTACAAATATTGATGGTTTGCATTTGATCCCCTCTTTTTTTTCTCTATATATACACACACATACATTTTTTTTAACCTCTTGACCTATGTAATATATTATATCTACTAGAAGCGTACTCGCACAATGCAGCGAGATACATCGTGATTTTAATATTCAATTTTATTATTTATCTCAGTCGATGTTATAATATGACTTTATGTGATTTTAAGAAACCGATGATGTTTTTATTTTTGAATAAAATATATGTTTGAAGATATCATAAAAATTTGACAAAAATATATCGATATTAGTATCAAATTAACTATTTGAAAT